TAAACCCTAAAACCCTACACCCTTGACCTTGAGCTCCAAAGACCTGCATCCTTCTCCACTTAGGAACCGGCGACAGATCGTCGGAGCTCAGGTGTGGGGGGGGGGGAAGGGGGTTGGGGTTCGGGTTGAGGGGGGTTGAGGGTTTAGGTGGAGGGGGGGGGGGATGATCGGTTCTCCTTGGGAAAAGTTCGTTGCATTTCCATGCTGGTAACTGCTACCCATAGGCTCCATAGTAGTTCCTTTTTGTGGTTCATATTGAGGATCCTATCAGGTAGTCCCAAAAAGGAACTACTTCGGAGCCTATGGGTAGTTATAGCACTTACGAACCCATCTGTTTGGATTTTAGGCACAAAGGGCTGATGGTTAACGGTAACATGCTTCCTTAGAGGGAGATCCTTTTCCAAAAAAACAAGCAGCCTTTGGCCATCTTGAAGGTTTGGAGCTTAGGCTTCAGTGTTTATAAGGTTTAGGATAGGGTTTAGGGTTTAGGATACTCCGAACACGCGTCATCTGAATTTGCACCCCTTTTTGGAGGCTTCTGCTGCTTGGGAAATTGGAGGTTGACGGCTGGGGGCTTCGGGTTTCAACATCCTAGACGGCACTCCAAGTCTAAAGTCCGATCAACTTCCGAGACCCTTCGAAACCCTCTCAAAACACGGGGTTTAGGGTTTACGGTTTAGGGTGTAGGGGTTTAGGGTTTACGGGTTTAGGGTTTAGGGTACAGCACACAGGTGGCCGTGGTGAGAGCTGGTGATGTGATCTGCAGCGTTGCCGACGGCTCGCAGGGGCCTCGGAAGGGGTGGGGGCCCTTCAGACTCAAATGGGCGCTGTAGAAGGCCTGAAAGATCTTGCAGAGTTGGGGCTTTAAGGAAGTCTTTTTAAAGGGATCAGGGGCTGTCGTCAGGAGGCTATAGTTGGTATAGCACCCAAGTTACCCAACTGCGGCAATCGAGTCCCAAATATACTTTCTACTTACCCACGAAGTCCCCTAACTCAACCTCTCACGCACAAAGCCCAAAAAACAACGGACAAAAACAAAACCCCCTCATCTGCCCGTTCGTTGGGATCCTTTGGGCAGACTTCAGGATCCTTAAAGAGAGACCCTTCACTAAGACTATAAGAGGCTTAGATAGCCAATGGGAGAACTTTAAACTTTTTGGCCTATGTATTATGGCTATCCTAAAAAGTTTGAACTTTTTTGGGCCCCATTGCCGGTAAGCAGGATGAGGGCAGCTACGCAGTCCACATTTCCTAAGGTTTAGAAAGTAACTAGGGGTTTAGTTTAGGACTCGAGGGTTCAGGATTACAAGGGCCCAGGTTCCAGAGTTTAGACAAGTTTAGGACACCAATCTCGCGGTGCGGAAGCTTGTAACGTTTAGGGTTTAGGGTTTATAACTAGTAGAAGACAGCGCCATCGGGGAGCAGGGCACAAAAGCCCAAACCCCGTTTTCTAGCCCCTGTTTTCGTTTAAGGCCCTGGAATGCCAAAGAAGATCCTTGCCGCGATGAACAAATCTGCTAAGTTTCGGGTCCCATGAACACCCATAAAAAACCCTCATCATAGAAACACTTCTAAGGGAGAGGGATAGCACGTTCATTCACCAAACCCTGAAAGCTCTACCATATCTTCTTGATATTTCTGGATTCCGAGAAAAAGATACAAAAATTCGAACTCTACAAAAACCCGAACATCCTCTATAAGCCCTAAACACCCTAAATCCTAAGCCCCTAAATCCCTACCCCCTACACCCTAAAAACTCCCTACATCCGCTAAGCAGCCCCCAAAGGCTCCCTAAGCCCTAACCCAAAGGCTCCCTAAGCCCTAAACCCTAAACCCAAAGGCTCCCTAAACCCTAAACCCTAAACCCAAAGACTCCCTAAGCCCTAAACCCCTAAACCCAAAGGCTCCCTAAACCCCAAACCCAAAGGCTCCCTAAACCCTGAACCCCTAAACCCAAAGGCTCTCCTCCATCGATGCCCGCCCTGTCACGGAGAAGACACGCTTTCCTCTGCTCGGTGCCACTGCCGGCATCGGGTCGCCTCTTGCTCTCGTTTAGGGTTTAGGGTTTAGGGCATTTTACACGATTGAAAGACGGATTCTTCTTAAGGTTGGATATTGTGCGATAGGATATAAGGGCGTTTTAGTTTGGGGTTGAAAATGTGCTTTGTCTTTTATTTGTGTTTCTAACCCTTTCGGTCTGGGTCCTGTCGCATTTTCAGCGTTTTCTGGCATGCTTTTGTTTGGCATGTTCAATGACCCTAAACCCCTAAACCCCAAACCCTAAACCCCTAAACCCCTAAACCCTAAACCCTGACAAGCTCTTCTTTGGTTTCACAAGGTTCTCGTCAGTTTGGGGTCGCGGACAAGGCCCCTGAGCTCTAATAGCCCCAATAACAAGGCTCGGAAATATTTAGTGGCCATATCCCTTACCATGTTCCCTTATATAATAGCTAAGCATGCGAGAATATGCCCAGCCCCTATTCAGATGCTTCATTAAACTGATTCCGTGCGTTTGGGAGCTTCGGCGGATAGGAAACTTCTCAGGATTTTTAGCCAGACCCCTGGGAGGATCCATCAACTAGATCCGAAAGTACCCTCTAGTAGAATAGCCCCCCCCCCCCCTGTCTACAAACAAATTTTAGCATTTTGCAATTTATACAAGAGCCCTAAATGCCTTGTATGAAACTCATCCAATCCGCGTATATTCACCCCTAGCTCTAAGAGAGCTGCTACCCCTAAACCCCAAACCCTAAACCCAGAACCTTCAACCCAAAACCCCAAAACCCTAGACCCTAGACCTTATAAAACACTAAACCCCCAAAAATCCGAGGCTAAAGATGGTGGATGGGACGCATCAGTCTGGCTCACACATATTTTCAGGGGAGCTCTGAGCCCGTAAAACGCAAGCTTCGAGGCTCTGTGTCTTTTATACCTCAACCCCCCCCAAAACCCTAAACCCTAGAAGACCCTATGGACCCTTAGAAAAAAACACTCAAAACGCCCCGAAGCACCAAAGTTTAGAGGCTCTGATTCTTCGGCCGAGGCTGGCTTTTCTCCGGGCGCTTCACAGGCAGTCAGAGGAGCTCATCGCGAAAAGCGGGGATGCCGCTGGGCGATGTGATCCGTAGGGCTTAACATCAGGATTTGGGGATCAGGGCTCTTGGGGAGTCTACCCATAGGCCCCTAAGAAGTTCCTTTTTAGGATTACCTTATGGGATTCTAAATATAAACCATAAAAAGGAACTACTTAGGGGGCTGTGGGTAGTGTTTGAGGCTTTGGCTCTGAAGGGGTTTGGGTTGCAGGCTTTTGAAGTTTAAAGCTTCGGCTTAGATGAAATACACCACAGCTTCGAAATCCTGAGCCGCACACCCGTACAAAGAAGTACCAGGCTTCAAATCGCCACGCAAAAACACCGACAGAACTCCAATCAAAATTCAGGACAGCTTGAGGCTGGATACCTTGCTGCGAAAGATGCTGGTCTCGTGGCCTGGCAGCAGACAGTTATTTGAGGGTTGAGGGCTCAGGGTTTGAGGCAATTAGTGTCTTTATGCCCTTATAGTCCCTGTGTATCCTTGTTTAAATATCTATACACCGGAACCCTAAACCCTAATTCCTAAACCCTTAACCCTAAACCATACACGGGAACCCTATTCCTCTACATATCCAGGCCCCGATCCCAGGGTTCGGCGTTGAGTGCTTTCGGTTTGGCCCACGACGGCAGGCAGGGAACCTCGATCTCGACCTCCCTCTAGGTCCAGCATCACACTACTTGCGTCATAATCGTCATCTTGATCCTGAGCCTCATCGTCATCACCACCAAAACCACCACCGCCACCATCATCATCATCATCATCAGCATCGCCCACCATCAGGAGCACAGGAGCATTATGGCATTGGTCACCCCATCCTCATCCTCATCTTCACCGCCGTCATCATCATCACCATCATCACCATCGCAGTATTACCGTTGCAATTATATTATGATTACTACGATTAATGTTGTTATTGATCACTTTTAGCCGTATGGCTCATCCTCTTGTTCATCATCTTGCTTCGCCCCTCATCATCAACATCAAGCTCATCATCCTCATCTTCATCAACAGCAAATCATGTATACCGTGATTGTCATGGGTTTCTGGGTCTTCTTTACCACCCGTTTCTTCATCAGCACTCGTCCTGCACGATTATCTGATCGTTGTTCAACTGGGTTTTATCAATCGCATAGGTCCTGTTGCTCAGGGTCTGAGAATTCCTTCCGCCTCCGCAGTGAACCCCATATTAATTTGGCTGAAGCTGTTTCATGCTCCTGACCACAGCCTTGGCGGCTCCAGCAGCAGCCTCCGTTGT